AAAAAAAAAAAAAGCCAAGCCAAGAATGTGAAGCCTGAGTTCATACCCCAGTACCAGAGGGAGGAAAAAAATACCTGTGGATATTGTACTGCTTTATTTCTTTTCCAACTTAGATCTCTTTTATTTCTTTTCTGTCTAGTTGCTCTGTCTAGTGCTTCTAGTACAACTGTACGATACTGGTTAGAAAAGCTAGCATCCTTATTCTTGATGTAAGAGTTTATAGTTGCTCACGATTTACTATGATAGTAGTTATGGGTTTTTCATAAATGTTCTTTATCTTGTTGGTGATTAAAGCAATTTAAAACCTAGAGTTGAAATGTTAGCTAAAATAACTCATTTTTTTAAAGTATATTAAAAGAAAGAGTGTGCCGGGCTGATGCCTGTAATCCTAGCTACTCAGGAGGCTGAGATCAGAGGATCGCGGTTCAAAGCCAGCCCGGGTAGGAAAGTCTGTGAAACTTTTATCTCCAATAAACCACCAGAAAACTGGAAGTGGCACTGTAGCTCAAGTGGTAGAGCGCTAGCCTTGAGATGAAGAGCTGAGGGACAGAGCACAGGCCCAGAGCCCCATGACAGACAAAAAAAAAGAAAAGAAAGAAAGAGTGCATTGAAGGAGTACATTAAAAATAAAACCTGCATTGAGTAATTTTAACCAATGAAATTAGTGTGTATGAAGAAACATACCTTTGAAGGGAGAAGCATGGGGGTGGGGTGGGAAGATAGGAAGGGATGGGAAAGGGAAACAAAGGAGAAGGCAACAATGCTTGATAAGAAGTAGAAATATACCTTCCACTTAGTAAACAAATCAGCAAGGAAACCATTCACAGCTTTCTCAAAATACAGATCCCCTGAAAGAAAACAGAAAGTTAGGACTTCTTACATTTCTTGTAGTTTCTTCTCTAAATAAAGTTATAAGAATGGAACCGGGGGGCTGGGAAAGTGGCGCAGAGGTAGAGCGCTTGCCTTGTGTGCCTGAGGCCCTGGGTTCGATTCCTCAGCACCACATAAGCAAAACGAAAAAAGCCAGAAGTGGCGCTGTGGCTCAAGTGGTAGAGCGTTAGCCTTGAGCTGAAGAGCTGAGGGACAGCGCCCAGGCCCAGAGTTCAGGCCCCACGACTGGACCCAAAAAAAAAAAAAAAATTAAAGAAAAAAAAAAAAAGAATGGAACCAGTGGCTGGGAAGTTGGCTCAATGGGAGAATGCTTGCCTTGCATGCAATGAGGCCCTGGGTTCAATTCCTCAGCACCACATAAAGAGAAAAAAGCCGGAAGTAGTGCTATAGCTCAAGTGGTCGGGTGTTCACCTTGAGTTGAAGAGCTGAGGGACAGCGCCCAGGCCCAGAGTTCAAGCCCCACAACCAAAAAAAAGAAAAAAGAAAGAAAGAAAGAATGGAACCAAAGAGAAAGAGGTGGGCTCTGTTCTTTCAAAAAGATCATAAAGGGCTGGGAATGTGGCTTAGTAGGCCAGAAGTGGTGCTGTGGCTCAAGTGATAAGAGTGCTAGCCTTGAGCAAAAGCTCAGGGACAGTGTCCAGGCATGAGTTCAAATCCCAGGACTGGCAAAAAAAAAAATCCATAAAAGCCAGATGTACAAAACTGGTTTCTTCTATCAAGGTAACTTTAATATTTGCCTTACTTACAGGCCATGACTTCAAGGTAAAATACAAAGTCTGAAAAAAATTCCTAAATGGGTTGACGGTATAGTTCACCCTCAAGATTCAAGGGGTAGAGACTCTGTTTATCAAGCCAAAGGCTCTGCGTTTGACCCCCAGAACCATCAAAATAAACAAATTTTATTTTAAAAGCCTGATGATTAACTAATACATGTACCTTCAAAATGAGAAAACAACCCAACCTCCAACTATAGTTATTCTCACAGTGATATTCAGGATGTACTAGATAATTTGACAGACCCAGGGCACTCCTGGATGACCATGTATAGTTCTTATCATTGATCTGACCTTGTTAGAGCAAAATTTAATTTCTCAATTCTGCTAAACATAAATTTGGACTGTATGAACCAAAAAGTTGATTGTTAGACTCAGTATCAGCACCTCATAAAACTTTTATTCCTCTACTCATAATTCTAATACAATAAAATAAACTAGGTTATTTCTGGAAGTGATGGGAAAATAAAAAAAAGCTTAGTGGCTACCTAGCAAGACCTTGTCTAGAAAGAAAGAAGGAAGGGAAAAGAGGGAATTTATATAAACAACAGAGATAAGTAAAGAAATAATCTATTATAGCAACAAAACACTATTTTAAACAATACCAAGAGCTTAATGTAAAATACAAACTTAGGGAAACCAGAAAACTCTCCCCAGTGGCAATAACAATCAATACTTAGTGAAGAACAGTACCATAAATATCAAAATCCCACATTTCACAGCTCATCTGAATAAATATGTAAACCATAGCTGACGTAGAACGGAACACCACCTGAAACAAACAAAAGAATAGAATTGCATTAAAAAGCAAGTAAAACTGGGCACCAGTGGCTCATGCCTGTAATCCTAGCTACTCAGAAGGCTGAGATCTGAGGATCATGGTTCAAAGCCAGCCAAAGCAGGAAAGTCTGAGACTCTTATCTCCAATAAACCACTCAGAAAACCAGAAGTAGCACTGTGCCTCAAGTGGTAGAATGCTATCCTTGAGCTGAAGAGCTGAGGTCCAGAGTGCAAGTCCCATGACAGACAAAAAAAAAGTGATACAGAGTCTCTGAAGATTGTTTCACGACAATGTAAATACTTAAAACACTGAATTACACACTTAAAACTTGGTATGGTGGGGCCCAACTAAATTTTGTGTTTCTTTCCCATATTAAAACAACAACAACAACACTGAGTGCTGGTGGCTCGCACCTATAATCCTAGCTACTTAGGAGGCTGAGATTGAGGATCAAGGTTCAAAGCCAATCCAGGCAGAAAAATCCTAGAAAGACTCTTAAACTCCAATTAACCACTCAAAAATGGCCTGTGGAGCTGTGGCTCAAAGTGGTAAAGCCTTGCCCAAAAGAAGTCATGGACAGTGACCAGGCCCTGAGTTTGAGATGCTCAACTGACAAAAAAAAAAATCTGAGCCAGACACCAGTGGCTTATACCTATAATCCCAGCTATTCACGAGGCTGAGATCTAAGGATGAGGTTCAAATACAACCTGGGCAGAAAAGTCTGGGAGACCCTTTTTTTTTTTAATTTTTTTTATTGTGAAAATACTGTGCAGAGGAATTACAATTACAGGGGCAAGATAATGAGTATATTCCTTATCAAGCATTGTAGCCTCCTCCTTTGTTTCCCCTTCCCATTCTTCCCCCCCCCCCACCCAGAGACTCTTATCTCTAGTTAACTATCCAAAAGTTGGAAGTAAAGCTGTGACTCAAATGGTAGTCAGCCTTGAGCACAAAAGCTCAGAGACAATAAATACCAAGGGCCCTGAGTTCAGCTCCAGAACCTGCACAAAAAAACAAAAACAAAAACAAATCTATTAATTTTGATGCAAGACTTCTAAAAGCAACTTTATCCACACTTTTTTTTCTTTTTCTTTTTTTGGTCGGTCATGGGGCTTGAACGCTGGGCTTGCATACTGTCTCTCAGCTCTTCAACTCAAGGCTAGTGCTCTACCACTTAGCCACAAAGCCACTCCAGTTTTCTGGTGGTTAATTGGAGATAAGAGTCTCATGGACTTTTCTGCCCTGGCTGGCTTTGAACTTCGATCTTCAGATCTCAACCTCCTGAGTAGCTAGGATTACAGGTGTTAGCCACCAGCGCCTGGACAGCTATACATTTTTTTTTTCATTTACTTGCTGAAGCATGTGTGGCTCACAACTATCACCCTAGCTACTTAATAGGCTAAAATCTAGGAATCAAGGTTCTAAGCCAACCTAGGCAGACAAATCCAGGATTTGTAGGTTAATCTCCAATTAACCAGCAAATAGCAAAAGTGAAGGTGTGGTTCAAATGGTAGAACAAAGCTAAGTGAGAAATCAAAGCCTAGAGTCCAACCACCAGAATCTACACTAGTTAGTTACTAAGGTTTTTCTCTGACCTTTGCCATCAAAAGCTGTAAGATCTGATCCATGCTATCTTGGAACTTATTGTAACACAGGATAAGGAAGAGCAGAATATTGTAATATATATAAATGTTCCATGAAGACTCACACAAGAAATGCAGTGAATATGGCTGGGAAAATCATGAAAACTCCATTATGGAGGCAGAGCTTAAACAAAGACATGCCAAAGGATGGGTTGCCAGGGTAATAAATTTTAATTCATATCATACCTCCCCTTTGCCCAGACTGCCTCAAGGAAAAGCATAAGAGGTATTTTGGCTGTGCGTGCTTTACCACAGAGCACTTCTCCAGCCTGTCCCTCTTCCCTGAAACCTTGAAGCCGTCTAGCAATAGCAGAATGCAAATCTCTGACTCCTTTAGTTTATTAGAGACCTGGCTCATTAAAAGCAGACTTCAAAGACATTCACTCTAGACTTTTTCTAGTCCCTGGGCCTTAAGTTAGTTAACAGTAATTCACCCTCCTTCTTTAATATACAGAAACATGAAAGTCAGTGTCAGTGGCTTATGCCTATAACCCTAGTGACTCAAGAAGCTGACATTAAGCCGAGCGCTGGTGGCTAACACCTGTAATCCTAGCTACTCAGGAGGCTGAGATCTGAGGATCAAGGTTCAAAGCCAGCCCAGGCAGAAAAGTCCGTGAGACTCTTATCTCCAATAAACCACTAGAAAACCAGAAGTGGTGCTGTGGCTCAAGCAACAGAGTGCTCACCTTGAGCTGAAAAGCACAGGGATAACACCCAAGCCCAAAGTTCAAGCCCCATGACCGACAAAAAAAAAAAGAAGAAGAAGAAGCTGACATCTGAAGATCACAGTTGAAAGTCAGCCCAGGCACAAAAGCCTCATGAGACTCTTACTTCCAATAAATAACTCAAAAACCGGAAGTGGCTCTGTGGCTAGAGCGGTAGAGTGCTAGCCTTGAGTACAAAAAGGCTTCAGGACAGCACCCAGGCCCAGAGTTCAAGGAAGGAAGGAAGGAAGGAAGGAAGAAAGGAAGGAAGGGAGGAAGGAAGGGAGGAAGGAAGGGAGGGAGGGAGGGAGGGAGGGAAGAAAAAAGGAATCATGAACACTAGGAGGAAATAAAACTTTGAAAACATTACTTCTGAGCATCCCTGGGTATGGATATGTGGGATTTGGGTGCCTTTTGTTTACTTTTTTTTTTTTTGTCGGTCATGGAGCTTGAACACTGGGCCTGGATGCTGTCCCTCAGCTCTTCAGCTCAAAGTGAGACTCTACCACTTGAGCTACAGTGCCACTTCCAGTTTTCTGGTAGTTAGTTGGAGATATGAGTCTCACCAATTTCTTGCCCGGGGCATTGAACTGGGATCCTCAGATCTCAGCTTCCTGAGTAGCTAGGATTACAGGTGTGAGCCTCTGGCACCCGACTTGTTTACTTTTTTTCCAGGGCCCCTCTGCCACTTGAGCCATGCCTTTAGCCCTTTTTTTGCTTTAGTTGTTTTGTTTTGTTTTTTGTCGGTCGTGGGGTTGAACCCTAGGCCTAGGTGCTGTCCCTCAGCTCTTCAGCTCAAGGCTAGCACCCTAACACTTGTGCCACAGCACCACTTCTGGTTTTTTTTGTTGGTGCTTATGTGGAGCTGAGGCATCGAACCTAGGGCCTCACACATTCGAGGCAAGCACTCTACCACTGAGCCAACCTCTCAGCCCCTGCTTTATTTTCCATTCTTACCTTTATTGCTGTTTTGTTCGGTTTTCTTTTTTTAATAGGACCTCATACATAGCAGGCAACATGCTACCATTGAACTATACCCTGAGCCCTATTTTCTTCTTCTTTTTTTTGGTCAGTCATGGGGCTTCAAGCCATGGCCTGGGCACTGTCCCTGAGCTTTTGTGCTCAAGGGTAGCACCCTACCACTTTGAGCCACAACTACACTTCTAGTTTTACAGTAGTTAATTGGCGGTAAGAATATCACAGATTTGCCTGGGCTGGCTCCAAAGGTGATCCTCAGGTCTCAGACTCCTGAGGAACAAGGATTACAGGCATGAGCCACCAGTACCTGTCATTTTTTTAAAAAACAAACGATCTTATTATGTAACCCAGGCTGGCTTCAAATGTAAGATTCTCCTGCCTCAGCCTTCCAAGTACTAAGAACTATTATATGTGTACCACTACATCCCACTTATTTTTCTAGATAAAAACAAAGCTGGGGGGGATGGGTGGGCAGGGATGGTAAGGGGAAAAAAAGGAGGAGGCAACAATGCTTGCTAAGAAATGTACTCTTAGCTGGGCGCCGGTGGCTCACACCTGTAATCCTAGCTACTTAGGAGGCTGAGATCTGAGGATCACAGTTCAAAGCCAGCTCGGGCAGGAAAGTCCATGAAACTCTTATCTCCAATAAACCACCAGAAAACTGGAAGTGGCACTGTAGTTCAAGTGGTAGAGCACTTGCCTTGAGCTGAAGAGCTGAGGAACAGCGCCCAAGCCTAGAATTCAAGCCCCACGACCGACAAAAAAAATTTTTTAAGGAAATGTACTCTTTACCTTGCTCATGTAATTGTAACCCCTCTGTAGGGTATTTTGACAAAAATCTTATTAATAATAATAATAGGGGGCGGGGGCAGGATGGGAAGGGGAAACAAAGGAGGAGGCTACAATGCTTGATAGGAAATGTACTCATTATCTTGCCCATGTAATTGTAACCCCTCTGTACAGTATGTTCACAAGTAAAAAAAAAAGAAATGTACTCATTACCTTGCCCATGTAATTGTAACCCCTCTGTACAGTATTTTCACAATAAAAAATAAAAATTTAAAAAATAATAATAATAATAAAAGCTGGCTGAGAATGTGGCTCAATGGTATAGTGCTTGCTTAGCATGCATGAAGCCTTCAGTTCTATTCCTCCATACAACAAAGACAGAAAAAGCAGGAAGTGGTGTTGTAGCTCAAGTGTTAGAGTGCTAGTCTTCAGCAAAAGAAGCTCAGGGACAGTGCTCAAGCCTCAGACCTGGCAAAAAAAACAAAAAACTAACTATTGACATCTCCAAGACTCCTGGAGAGGGAAAACCACCCTACTTGAGAAATACTGCTCTTAAGACAGGTAGAAAAAACGGGACAAGAAAAAGGAGAGGTTCACCAGCATGAGTAATGTTCATAACTCATGCTCAATTTGGATTCTTTTATTTTTGGTCAGTCATGGGGCTTGAACTCTGGTCCTGGACACTGTCCCTGAGCTCTTCAGCTGAAGGCAAGCACTCTACCACTTGAGCCACAGCACCACTTAAAGAGTTTTCTGGTGGTTAATTGGGGATAAGAGTCTCACAGACTCGCCTGCCCAGGCTGGCTTTGAACTGTGATCCTCAGATCTCAGCCTCCTGAGTAGCTAGAATAACAGGGGTGAGCTACCAGTGCCTGGCTCAATTTGGATTCTTTTTTTTTTTTTTTTTGGGTCCGGTCGTGGGGCCTGAACTCTGGGCCTGGATGCTATCCCTCAGCTCTTCAGCTCAAGGCTAGTGCTCTACCTCTTGAGCCACAGTGCTACTTCTGGCTTTTTTTTTTTTTTTGCTTATGTGGTACTGAGGAATTGAACCCAGGGCCTCATACATGCAAGGCAAGCACTCTACCACTGAGCCACCTTCCCAGCCCCCAATTTGGATTCTTTTAACTACAACGAGGAGCCAAAGAAGGGGATTCCTTTTCAATGGTCTTTCTTCATGTTTATGATGCAGGATCTGTTACTTATGCAAATGTGTGTGTATTTCTTTCTTTCTTTTTTATATTTTTTTTTCACCAGTCCTAGGGCTTAAACTCAAGGTCTGGGCACTGTCCCTGAGCTTCTTTTTGCTCAAGACTGGCACTCTGCCACTTGAGCCAGAGCGCCACTTCCAGCTTTTTCTGTTTATGTGGTTCTGAGGAATCAAACCCAGGGCTTCATGCATCCTAGGCAAGCACTCTACCACTAAGCCACATTCTCAGCCTGTGTGTATTTATTTCTGAAAATATATTTATTAACTGATCTGCAATACTACAACACTCACACTTTGCTCAGCTTGCTTGTTTGTACTCTATAACTTGAGCCACACCTCAAGTTTTGCCTTATATTGGTTATTTTAGAGATGGAGTCACAAATTTTTCTGCTTGGGCTGGCCTCAAACTGTAATCTTCCAGATTTCAGTCTTCCTAGTAGCTAGGATTATAGGCATGAGACACTAGCACCCAGAATCTATGTATAATATTAAATAAACTCATTCAGAAAAAGAAAGACCAACCTCAGTGTGGAGAGCTTCAAGTGTAAGACATCAGAATTGTAGAGGTCTCTGACATTAGTCCCACTGGGGCAAGTAGTAGTTATCACAAGATTTTTGTCCCTTTGGTTTGATTTCAGGAATTTCGATATAGTAATATGGGGGAGGGGGAAACACAAAAAAATCATTTGATAAATCTTACCCTGGTATCTTCACTGATATAACCACACATGACCTTCTCATTCTTCACCCATAGCTCACCAGCCTGTGCCCTGAAAGGGGACATACAAATAAGTTATCACATTCCTTACTTTAAACCAAAAGTAGATAGGAGCAATTTCCAGCAGCTACATCTACTCTGATACTTATGCCTGAATGATGTGATCAGTTCATATATTCCCAAAGAGAGCTCCGTGAGCAAAAAAGCCAACATAAAGAACCTGCAAAATCCTGCCCTACTCCCTCCTTCCTCCTGGAGTTCTGGGAAGGTCAAATGAGGCATCATCAATACCAAGACTTGATAAGCTAAAAAACTGATTATTCCTGTGGAAATTTTGTTATTTTGTTGTTAGTTTTTGTTTTGCTTTGATTTGTGGTCCTGAGGATCAAACCCAAGGCTTTATATATCATAGATGTTAGGCAATGTTCTACCATTAAGCTATAGACCTATGGCCCAAGAAATCATTCTTTTTACACACACAAAAGGAAGAAAAGCCTGAGATTTATGAGGTACACAAAATCTAAGACATTTACAAAAAATTGTTTCCCTAACAGAAAAAGATTCTAAACTATCCCATTTTGCTCAACAGTAAATCACAGTCATGGCTAATAACTGTTACCATAGGAAGAGACCCATTTCCTAGCCCCTGGCTCACCATATAGCAGACTGCTTTATCATATCAGTAACATGAATTTAAGTGGCATGTTCTGATACTGACATATTCACTTCTTAAGTTATGCTTTCAGGGGCTGGGAAGGTGGCTCAGTGGTAGAGTGCTTGCCTTGCATGCTCGAGGCCCTGGGTTCGATTCCTCAGCACCACATAAGCAAAAAGAAAAAAGCCGGAAGTGGCGCTGTGGCTCAAGTGGTAGAGTG